TTAGCCGAGGAGATAGAGTGTGTGCGGGAGCGAGCGTTATCCTGAGCGCTGGGGCTGCTTTTAGCAGGAGCAGGATCGGACCCTGGTGCTCCCACAGCTCTAAGTGGTTCCTGCCTGTCACACTGAGTCAGTGCATCCTCCCTGTCACCAGCCAGCGCTGGCTGCACAGGAGGAAAGACACAGGATTGGAAAATGCAGGGGAGGGGACAGCCTCTCCGTGCAGGGTGTTGGTGGCCACTGTCTTGTCTCCCTGCCCATTGGGCTCAGGGCTCCCGTGGGGGGAACGTCCTTCAGGTCTTGGACCATAAATCCTTTGCACGTGGCCTTGCCAAGGAGAAATGCCACTGTTAGCTGATTGTTTCAGGATGGGAGATATGGAAAAAATCTGACTTTTTTTTTTTTTTTTTTTTTTTTTTTTTTTTTTTCTTTCCCTCCCCTTTGCCTCTCCTTCTTGCCTTTCCAGCAGTTCCTCTAATTCTGCTCCCTCCCACAGCTGGAAGTATGTGCCTGGGGTTCAGCAGATGTAGGAAGGAGTTTCTGTGAGACATCAGGAGGGCGATCCTGGAAGTTGCTGTGTGGGGCTCTCATGCCCTGTTTTCTTGCTGCCTTCACGTAACAGGGCAATTTTTATTCTAGGAAAATACATCTATATATATATTCTTTCTTTTTTTTTTCCCTCTGCAGATTTGGAGGCTCTCGTCCCTTCCTCAGACTAACCTAACTGTCATCTTATTTCCTTGTCTCCTGTGACTTTTCTAGTCCCTCTTGTCATTCCCAAGCAGCTCAGCAATTAGTCACTGAAAACTTTCCACTTCCATAAGCTACCTGCTGTACTGCGCTGCTAAATAAGTAAGTGGCTCAGCTACTGCAGGCAAAATTCCATCCTTCTGGCTTGCCGCTGGGGAGGAAGGACAGAGAATTAACCGCTGTGCTCCTGGAGGACAGGCAAGCTGGTTGGCTTGTCCCCTCAGCTGGACTGTCAGGGTGACTGCACCATGAGGGACAGAATTTGGGGTCCCACCTGCTTCCCGGTGCAGTGAATCCTATGGGCAAGCCCATAGTGAATTGCAGCTCCGTGGAGCACCCCACGTAGGCTGGGTGGTGCAGAAAACAGGCAGGTATGGGTGCCTCTGATCCCCTGGGCTCATCCCACCATCAGGGGATGATCACCAGGGCACAGGTGACCCTGTGTCTTTACACGGATGAGGTGGGAGTGGTGCAAGCTCAGCACCTTGTGTCATTTTCCTTCTTAGCATGCAAGCGATCAGATGCTTGGCAGGAGGAGGAGGAATTAAAATAAGATACTTAAATCTGGAGACCTTTAGAGGTTACCGCCATAAAGTCCTAAGCCTGCATTGCAGATGGTTTGGCCCAAAAGTTTCTGTGGCTGCCCAGGAGCAGAGGACTATCAGTCTCACAGTGGCAATGAGATGATGTGCTGCTTCTTGTGCTACCTCTGGTCCTGCTGGCTAACTTGGAACGGTACAAGGCCATTTTGTTTACACAGGAGGAATCTCCCCAGCACTCGGGCTGTATTTAGGCTCCAGGGACCACAAAGATGGCTTTGAGAGCCCTCCTCTTGGGCTGTGCTCTGCTCTTTGGCTTTGACCTGAATGCTGGCGGGAGGATAAGGTGGCTGGGAAGATCAGGGAATGCAGCAGGGTGACTCTGAGGAGGACTTGGGAGACTGCGGAGGAGGAGATGAAGGCTGGAAGTGGCTGGCAGAGATAGTTGCTGGGTCTGGTCTCTACTCTGCTTGGATCCAGATGTGATTGGTTTGGCACGCAGCCCTTCTCAACACAAATGCTCCTGATGAACAGAAAAGGTGTCCCCACTTATCCCCAGCTCAGACTCTCTAATTTTAGTTCATTCATTCTCTTGGGGTCTGGCTGCACGTACACCCTGTGCTCGGGGTATGATGCAACTGCAGCCACATCATCGGTTCCCAATGGCTGGGAAAAGGTTCACCATCACTTTATTCTGGCTTTAACGCTTAGAGGCACAAGTTCCCCAGCCCATGGAAGGTGAGGCTGTGACTGAACCAAAGCAGTGCTGACATCCATTCACGCTTAGAAAGCTTGGCAATAAGCAAAACCACGCTACTGAGTAATCAGAGCTCCATTTTTACCACTTTCTTCAAATCGGAAAGCCTTCCCAGAGAGATCATCATAAGCATGAAACACCTCAGAGGACACCACTACTGTTTCCTTGTTGTTAAGTCTCCTGGCTGGGATTTGAGCCTCTGCTTCTATGTGCTAAGGTGTCTCGGTACAACACCATGAGCCGCACAGGCCTACAGCATCCCAGGGAGCAGGGAAAGGAATCTGAAAGGCAGCAGCTTCAACTGAATGAGGCTGGAAGGGCCTTGAGGTTGGGGACTGGATCTTGCTGCCTCCAAGGCAAGTGGTCAATGCAGGCAGTTGCTGCGGGCACTTCAGGGAGGGGAAAAGAGTGATTGGGGTGTATTTTCTTGAAAAAATGAGTTATTTCGGCAAGCCAAAGCTGTGTGGAGGACAGGGAGGAAAGTAACAGGTGCTCAGAGTGGAGCTAGAGGCATGATTTCCTCTGTGGTGCTAAAATGGTTAATTAACATAATCATCACAGAGCTCCCAGTTAAGCCATCCGTTGCTTAGCAAACAGTTTTGGATGTAAATGTAATAAATATTTGATGATGCTGTGAAATGACGATAAAGGCCCAGCGACCAGCTGGTTCGCGAGAAGAACCTTCCTCCTCGCTTCGGTTTCTTCTCGCCTCTCCCAGCCCTGGCTCCTAAGGAACAGTCTTTAAGGCTGTGCTTTTGTCCTCTGCCTGCCTGGCGCTGCTGCCAGGCGTGGGTTTCTGCGTGACCCCGGGCTGTTGGCATGCTGATCCTCTTAGTAATGCCAGCCCGCGACATCGTGCTACGCTGGGCGTCTTCCACCGTACTTTCCACCACCAACAACCCCCCCATTTCCAAACCAACAGCTCTCCACAGCTGTGCCATCACCAAAGACCTCGGAACACTGCTACGGCTGTAACGCGAAGGCGCACTGTACGTGGACAAAGTCTAGCACTGTCCTTCATGATGCTTTGTGCACCCTGCAAGTTAATTACGGTGGTAATTACCCCGTAGGACCTTTCCAGTTGGGTGGTTTTAGTTAAAGCCTTCCCCATCTCTCCTCCTGAGTTTGTGCTAGGCTGTGCAGCCCCCTGTTCGTACCGGAGGCTGCAAACCCCACAGCTGGGCTTTGTTTTGGGTCTGTATTTTCCTCCAGTCATGTATGTGCTCAAAGGTGGAGTCTATCCCCAGCACCAATCCATCATCTGGGAGAGGTTATCCTGCATTTACGCTGCCGGGACAGAGCTGGGAACCTGGCCTCCACCGGGAAGGTGGTTTTATTGTTGTGAGCCCATTGCACGGTGCCGGTGCTGACTCATGAACCTGACACCGGGGACAACAGTAAGGTAAAAATCAATCGCTCCCGCCTTGTTCAACACTCCCTGTATTCACCCGTGGTTCTGCTCTTCCTCAGCCTGCATCCTGCCCCTGGACCAGTGCCCAGGCCCCTTGTGAGCCATGGGAAGACGTCACCCAGAAATGTGAATTTCTGAGCACTCAAAGGCTGCACTGTTTATTCAGCCGATAGCTCCGTCTCCATGCTCTGCCCTGGCTTCATTTGAGCTTCATTTGTTTCAAAGAGCAGGGCCCAGTACCCCACTACTGATACTTCCTATTAACTGAGAAATTGGGGTTAAAAACCAGCTGCGATGATCCCTGGGGAGGGTGGTTATCATTCCTTTCTGGGCCTCTGCCCTGCAGCTGAAGTTGTGCAAACTTTAAATCATGACATAATGTACTGGAGCGACCGTGGGCAGAGGCACTGCAGCTGGACCACATGTCCCTGCTGACAGTCAGCTGGCTAAAACGAATATATATACACCATATATACCATACCTATAGTGCAATGTGTCAGAGGGGTACTGTATTTAGGTAGGAACGATTTTCCCTCTGCGTTGACAAATCAGTTCAGTTCATTCCTGGGCTACTGGCCTGAAATGGGACTTCTTCCAGTTATTTACTTACTGCGTGTTGACTCAAAATATTAAGATAAGCAAAATTTAAAAAAAAAAACCCCAAAGCCCCAAATACCCGCAGCCGCCAACTGTCCCGCCTTAGGATAAATATTTTACTGCGTGTTGACTCAAAATATTAAGATAAGCAAAATTTAAAAAAATCCAAAAGCCCCAAGTACCCGCAGCCACCAACTGTCCCGCCTTAGGATAAATATCACATAGAACTAGTGCAAATGTAGGTACAGTTACTTCAAAACAAACTGCTCAAGTGAATTTTTATCTCCTAACAAAGCTATTTTTGTTGTTTGAAACTTGTCCTTGATTTTTTTTTTCCTTCCCAGTTTCTCCTGCTTTTATGGTGGATTGGAAAAATCTCTACAAGTAATAACATGGTTTAGAAGCTGAAGATCCCTTTCGATTTCGGTTTGGACAGCAAAAGCCTTTAAGACACTTTCAGCATCCTCAGTTTAGCAACCCGTTATTTCCGATGTATTAATTTCTAACTAGTGTGCCCTCTAACTCTACCTGCAACTGCTCTGACATGAAAGCAATGTCATAACTCCCCACGCCTGATTCCGCCTGCAGCAAGTTTTCTGGGGAACCAGCTTCCCTGTGGATGTAATGTGCCAAATTCTTAACTCCCCTGGTGCTCAGGACCGCCGTGGGCTCCCCTGTCTCTATCCATCGGGTTTAAACTTTCCAGGGTGAGGACAGTGGGTTGGAGCAGCGGAGCTGAGATTTCCACGCAGGTGCCGCCGCAGGACGAGGCGCTGGCTTTGCCGAGCAAATGTGAGTCTTGAGAGAAGGCGTCCCACCCTCCAGCATCCACGATTTTCCCTTTTTTCCTTTTTTTTTTTTCCCTTTTTTTTTCCCTACCCCCGCATCCCCCTGACCCGCCATCCCTGGCAGCTTGCGGGGTGCCCCCCCCCGCCTCCAGCATCCTTACCCTGCTCCAGGTCTTGCTGGTCGTACCAGGGCTCCTCTTCCTCGCTCTGAAACTCCTCCATCCTGTCGGCGCTCAGCATTTAGCACCAAAGCTCCGGGGAAACGCGAAGCATCCGCCAAAAGGGGGGGACCCCCCCGCCGCCGCCGCAAACGGGGAGCGGGGATGGATGCGGGGATGCGGCCTCGGTGCCCCCACCCCGGGCGGGCCGGGAAAGGGAGGATGGCACGACGTGGCACCCGGTGCCTATCCGCTGCCCCGGCTCTGTCTGCCCCCGGGGGGGTGTGGGGGGCGGCTTCTTCCTGCCTCCAGAGCCGGGGGAGGCTGCGGGGGGGGTGGATGAAGCGGGGACGTGGCGGAGGGGGGGACACGGCTTACACGGGGCTGGGGGATGCACAAAGGAAGGAAGAGGGCCCGGCGCAGCCAGGCAGATCCTCTCTCCGCAGCTCGGTGGAGACCTCTAGCATGGAAATGCTGCAAGGAAAGCCGGCGAGAGGGAAGGGGGAGGCGAGGAGAGACCGGCCTCCTCCTCCTCCTCTTCCTCCTCCTCCTCCCTCTCCGCCCAGCCCTGCCGCGGACAGCGGGGCGGGCGTGGGGCTGCAGGGAGCGGGGTTTTGGGGAGGGTAAGGTGGAGGGAGGTGCCCCGCGGTCCCTGTCTCCCCTCCACACCCCGTCATGATGCCTCCGGTTCCTGCATCCCCGGGAGGTCAGCAAAGAGTAGGGCTGGGATGCGGAGGGTCGTCCTGGCCTTGCTGTGGAGAAGAGAAGGATGAGGGGAGACCTTATCTACGAGTATCTAAAGGGTGGGTTGAAGGAGGATGGAGCTGGACTCTTTTCAGTGGTTTCCAGCGATAGGATGAGGGGCAACGGGCACAAGTTGGAATAAGGGAAGTTTCTTTCAAATAGGAGGAAAAACTTCTTTACAGTGAGGGTGGCAGAGCCCTGGAACAGGCTGCCCAGGGATGCCCACCTGGATGCTGTCCTGAGTAACATGCTCTGGGCAACCCTGCTTTGGCAGGGGAGTTGGACTGGATGGTCTCTAAGAGGTCCCTTCCAACTCCAACAATTCCGTGATTCCATGATTCTCCGTGACTTCTTGGGAGCCTTCAGTGGGGATGTCAGTGTCTTCTTGGCCTTGGTGGGTTTGGGTGCGTTGCTCTTCAAGGTGGGGGTGTTTCTAAGCTTCCTAGCTGGGGCTGTGAAAGGGGAAACCCCATACAATTTGCCCCACAGCATCACCTTAGTGTAGTGTCTGCACTAGCTCTTCTCTGCCTCTGTGTTCTCCCTGTTTTGCACCCTGCTGAGAAATCAGTGCTTCCGATGCAGGCTTCTCTCTTATTTTTGAGGACAGACTCCTGTGTTTCTTTCTGAATGGTGGAAGGAGTTTAAAATTGAGGGGAAGTGAGGATCTGTAGAGTTCTGAGGAGGAAGTGTGTCTGTTACATACAAGTAAGTTCAGAAAAGACTTAGGATTTTGGTACTTGCTTTTCAGCTTAAGGGAACAAGGGTTAGAAAAGTTGGCCTTTCTCCTACTTGCTAGTGTGGAGTTTAGCCCCCCGCCGCCGCCGCCGCAAACGGGGAGCGGGGATGGATGCGGGGATGCGGCCTCGGTGCCCCCACCCCGGGCGGGCCGGGAAAGGGAGGATGGCACGACGTGGCACCCGGTGCCTATCCGCTGCCCCGGCTCTGTCTGCCCCCGGGGGGGTGTGGGGGGCGGCTTCTTCCTGCCTCCAGAGCCGGGGGAGGCTGCGGGGGGGGTGGATGAAGCGGGGACGTGGCGGAGGGGGGGACACGGCTTACACGGGGCTGGGGGATGCACAAAGGAAGGAAGAGGGCCCGGCGCAGCCAGGCAGATCCTCTCTCCGCAGCTCGGTGGAGACCTCTAGCATGGAAATGCTGCAAGGAAAGCCGGCGAGAGGGAAGGGGGAGGCGAGGAGAGACCGGCCTCCTCCTCCTCCTCTTCCTCCTCCTCCTCCCTCTCCGCCCAGCCCTGCCGCGGACAGCGGGGCGGGCGTGGGGCTGCAGGGAGCGGGGTTTTGGGGAGGGTAAGGTGGAGGGAGGTGCCCCGCGGTCCCTGTCTCCCCTCCACACCCCGTCATGATGCCTCCGGTTCCTGCATCCCCGGGAGGTCAGCAAAGAGTAGGGCTGGGATGCGGAGGGTCGTCCTGGCCTTGCTGTGGAGAAGAGAAGGATGAGGGGAGACCTTATCTACGAGTATCTAAAGGGTGGGTTGAAGGAGGATGGAGCTGGACTCTTTTCAGTGGTTTCCAGCGATAGGATGAGGGGCAACGGGCACAAGTTGGAATAAGGGAAGTTTCTTTCAAATAGGAGGAAAAACTTCTTTACAGTGAGGGTGGCAGAGCCCTGGAACAGGCTGCCCAGGGATGCCCACCTGGATGCTGTCCTGAGTAACATGCTCTGGGCAACCCTGCTTTGGCAGGGGAGTTGGACTGGATGGTCTCTAAGAGGTCCCTTCCAACTCCAACAATTCCGTGATTCCATGATTCTCCGTGACTTCTTGGGAGCCTTCAGTGGGGATGTCAGTGTCTTCTTGGCCTTGGTGGGTTTGGGTGCGTTGCTCTTCAAGGTGGGGGTGTTTCTAAGCTTCCTAGCTGGGGCTGTGAAAGGGGAAACCCCATACAATTTGCCCCACAGCATCACCTTAGTGTAGTGTCTGCACTAGCTCTTCTCTGCCTCTGTGTTCTCCCTGTTTTGCACCCTGCTGAGAAATCAGTGCTTCCGATGCAGGCTTCTCTCTTATTTTTGAGGACAGACTCCTGTGTTTCTTTCTGAATGGTGGAAGGAGTTTAAAATTGAGGGGAAGTGAGGATCTGTAGAGTTCTGAGGAGGAAGTGTGTCTGTTACATACAAGTAAGTTCAGAAAAGACTTAGGATTTTGGTACTTGCTTTTCAGCTTAAGGGAACAAGGGTTAGAAAAGTTGGCCTTTCTCCTACTTGCTAGTGTGGAGTTTAGAATTATAGAATAGTTTGGGTTGGAAGGGACCTTTAAAGGTCATCTTCAAGAGATGGTTGCTCAAGGTTGGATCAAGGTTGCTCAGAGCCCCGTTCAACCTGACCTTGAATGTTTCCAGGGATGGGGCATGCACCATCTCTCTGGGCAACCTGGGCCAGTGTTTCACCACCCTCATTGTAAATAATTTCTCCTTATATCTAGTCTAAATCTTCTCTCCTTTAGTTTAAAGCCATTATTTCTTGATGGTTGCTCAAGGTTGGATCAAGGTTGCTCAGAGCCCCGTTCAACCTGACCTTGAATGTTTCCAGGGATGGGGCATGCACCATCTCTCTGGGCAACCTGGGCCAGTGTTTCACCACCCTCATTGTAAATAATTTCTCCTTATATCTAGTCTAAATCTTCTCTCCTTTAGTTTAAAGCCATTATTTCTTGCCCTATCACTCCACTCCCTGATAAAGAGTTTCGGCACTGAAATGAGTTATAAGGTCTCCCTGGAGTCTTCTCTTTGCCAGGCTGAATAATCCCAACTCTCTCAGCCTGTCCTCACAGAACAAGGTCCAAAGGGGGTTTGGTCCAAGAGGGTTTATTTGTCCTTGTCAGTCCTGGAATCCACCAGAGACTCTAAGGTCCAAATTAACTCATGTGACAGTGGGATTTGACGATTTTTATTTTTGCCTTCTGTGTGATGGAACTCCCTGGATTTATTCTTGATTGCATTACCTTGCAGCAGTGGCTACAGAAAAGGCAATATGAGATGTTTACGCAAGAGCGGCAGACTGTGCATCCCGAAAAGATGGAATCTGTGTCAGAAAACTGTTCAATCCAGCGGTGACAGGCAGCTGAGGGCCCCTGGATGATTAAAGCAATGGCTGGTTCTCTGCTCTCCTGTACAGCAGCAGAAGAGGGAAATAACACAGGGAATAAGAGACAAATTATAGGTGATTCCTCTCCTCACACATCTATACACTCCCAAAATTTAGTGACTGGCTGGAAAGTCTTCTGCCTTAATGCAGTTGCAGACCAGAATTGAGGAGTCTCTTTTAACCTGGCATTTATAACTCAGCAAAGATAATTGAACACTTTTGGTGTGTCTGGGAGAAAGCCATCTCTGACTGGCTCTGAGATCTTTTTCTAAGCAATTTTAATATAGAAATGGGGGGGGAAATCTTAACTTTCTTATGCCTGTCAGTGTTGAAGAGGCGTTTAGATGATGCTCTTAATAACAGACTTTAACTTTTATCAGCACTGAAATGTTCAGGCAGTTGGGATAGATGATCGTTGTAGGTCTCTTCCAACTGAACGTTTCTATTAATTGTGAAAAATAATTGCCAGTGAAAGGTATTCTGTTCCTAGGAATACATTATTATCGCTTGTCTGTATAGTGTAGCCATACTGAGTGAGTGCGTGCTTGGATGCTAAGCCCTAGGCTGCTTGGCAGCAAAAGCCAGGTGACATGATTTTGTGAAAGTATTTTTTCCCTGTGGGTTTTACAAGACTGTCTCAGATCTGACCTGTCACTCGATAGAATCAAATGTCAGTGATTTCTGTACAGGTTATACGCCAGCAAATGAGAATTCCCACAGCCTGCCCCAGCTGGGGAGTCAGCACATTGCTTTCTTTTGCAAAACGATTAGAATTACCTCATTTCCTCTGAAGAAAGGAGGTTTGCAGAGCTGAGCATGTGAAATGTAACTCGGCAACACCAAAAAGACCTGCTTGCAGTTCATAGAGCTGCTCGGTGCAGAAAGCAGTGACAATAGCTTCAAAAGCAACACTGAACTGCTTCCGAGAGCTGCTTTGAGGTGTTCAGTGAGGGCCAAATCCTGAATTCCCAGTCCCCTGGGGTTATAAAACACCCTGTTCTTGCAGGTGGGTGGAATTTAATCAGGGTTAATGGGCCACCAAGTGCAATGAGCTCCTTACAAGGTACTTGGAACAAGCCTGCTTGCTCCTGGCCCCCTTCAACCCAGGAGCAGGGAGAAGCCATTCCTCCTGCATCCCTCTGCACCTCCGGACATCCCAGCTCCGGATGATGGGCTGTCAGCCGTGGCTAGCTGGAGGTGCCATGAGGCTTGTGTTCGAGAGCAGCTGAGCAAGGGGGCTTTGGGGGACAAAAGGTGTGGGCAGGAGGGGAGAAAGAATGGGGTGAGATGGGGGGCAGAGGGACCTGATGGTGGGGAGGAGGCAAAGGTCGGGGAAGAAGAGGAGAAGGGGGGTGTGGTAGAAGAGGGGAGCAGGCAGAAGGAGCTGATGGTGGGGAGGAGGCAAAGGTTGGGGAAGAAGAGAAGAAGAGGGCTGTCAGATAAGAGGGGAGATGGCGGAGGGAGCGTAGGCCAGAGGGGAGAGTGAG